TTTCTACAGTATACTCATGGCTCCAGGGAAGGGCCAAATCAAGGAGGTATAGAAGCAGGTAGAATTATGCTCCCGCCAAAGATGCCCACGTCCTAATTCCCAGAATCCCAGAGTATGTCACCTTACCTGGCAAAAGGCACTTTGCAGATATGATTGTCATTTGCAAAGGATGTTGAGATGCTGAGATTATCTGGCTTATCTGGCTGGGCTCAGTGTAATCACAAGTTTCTTTATAAGGGATGGAGGGAGGCAGGAGAGTCCTGGTCAGAGTGATGCAGCTGAGAAAGATTTGAGCAGCTGTGGCTGGCTTTGAAGACTGGAGGAAGTTACCAGGCAGACAACACGGGCAAAGCTGGAAGAGACAAGGAAAAGGATTTGCCTTTGGAATGCCTCCAGATGGAATGCAGCCCTGTCCCTTGATTTTAGCTTATTGAGACCCATTTTGGATCTTTGACCTCTAGAACTATAAGATGATTAATTTGTTTTGTTTTCAGCCACTGAGTTTATAATAATTTGTTACAACATCCATAAGAAATTAATACAGGGCAAAAACAAACTTCAGTTTCTTTTGGTCCCAACCTTTCCCAAATTCTGCAAGATCGAACCAGGGGTAACCAGCCACAGCCCTCTAGCTGAGCAGGTTCAGCCCAGGCTACAGCGCAGCATGCAGGAGGTGTGCCGAGGTGCCTCCCAGTCCTGGAGCACACAGAGCTCCTGGAGGCTGTCCAGGCTTGTCTCAGCAGCCTGCTGTAGCCCTCTTTCTCTCTGAAGCAAAAGGGGAGTAGAGAGTCACTACTCCACTGTCACTCTGTTACCTACCCCTGCTTCTTCCTGCAGGGGCCAGGAGGCCGAGAGTTAGGGCCCCACAAGAACTTAGAAATATTGATATGTTTGCTCCCTGGGAAGCCATTTATTCATTTGTTTATGCTTATTGAGCAAACATTGTACGATAAATCAGGCAAACTCATGGCCTTCATGATGTTTTTATTTTATTTTATTTTATTTTATTTTATTTTTTTGAGACAGAGTCTTGCTTTGTTGCCCAGGCTACAGTGAGTGCTGTGGCATCAGCCTAGCTCACAGCAACCTCAAACTCCTGGGCTCAACCAATCCTCCGGCCTCAGCCTCCCGAGTAGCTGGGACTACAGGCATGTGTCACCATGCCCGGCTCATTTTTTCTATATATATTAGTTGGCCGATTAATTTGTTTCTATTTATAGTAGAGACAGGGGTCTTGCTCTTGCTCAGTCTGGTTTTGAACTCCTAACCTTGAGCAATCCGCCTGCCTCGGCCTCCCAGAGTGCTAGGGTTACAGGCGTGAGCCACCGCGCCCGGCCTATCCCAGCACTTTCGAAGGCTGAGGCAGGTGCATTACTGGAGCCCCAGAGTTGGAATTTGCAGTGAGCTATACTCAGGCCAATACACTCCAGCCTGGGTGACAGAGTAAGACCCTGTGTCAAAAGAAAAAAAGAAAGAAAGAAATTGAGGCACTGCAGCATGGTAAGTGACTTTCTTATGGTCACGCAACAAGTAAGTGGCAGAAGCAGGCCGGGTGTGGTGGCCCACGCCTATAATCCTAGCACTCTCGGAGGCTGAGGAGGGAGGATTGCTCAAGGTCAAGAGTTCAAAACCAGCCTGAGCAAGAGCGAGACCCCATCTCTACTATAAATAGACACAAATTAATTGACCAACTAAAAATACATAGAAAAAAATAAGCCAGGCATGGTGGCGCATGACTAGTCCCAGCTACTGGGGAGCCTGAGGCAGGATTGCTCGAGCCCAGGAGTTGGAGGTTGCTGTGAGCTAGGTTGACGCCAGGGCACTCTAGTCCTGGCAACACAGTGAGACTCTGTCTCAAAAAAAAAAAAAAAAGTGGCAGAAGGAGACTCCAAATCTGATGGTATATGGATTACTGGGGTGCAACGGCCTAGAGACTCCATTCCTGAGACCGTGGGAAAAAGGAAATGAAGGAATGCTGCAATAAGGGCAGAGGTTAACTGCCTAGTTGGGGGACATTCCAAATATCCAGGAGTACAGCAAAGCAGACTCCCACCTCAAAGCCTGAGGAGCCTCATGCTCTGATAGCCTCAAAGTGGTTAGACATGAAGAGTTCCCATAGCCACAGGGGAGGATGTCAGCCTGGGAGCAGGGACATCAGGCTCCATTTCACCAGGCTGTGTTCCTTCCTCCCCTTCTTGGAAGCTTCTACTCTCGGTTAGTAGAAAAACAGCCTCCCATTAAGAAGCACATAATCTCTTTGTTCTTTAACTAATAGACTGCGGCTGTTGGGTTACATGATGATTATCGTAGCATTCAGTTTGTGTACAGAATAGATGTGGCTTATCTGCCTTTTCTTAGAAACAGTTCTAAGTAAGAGTTATTATTTACTTATTTATTTTTGAGACAGAATCTTGCTTTGTTGCCCAGGCTACAGTGAGTGCCGTGGCGTCAGCCTAGTTCACAGCAGCCTCAAACTCCTGGGCTCAAGCAATCCTTCTGCCTCAGCCTCCCAAGTAGCTGGGACTACAGGCATGCGCCACCATCACTGGCTCATTTTTTCTATATATATTAGTTGGCTAATTTCTTTCTTTCTATTTATAGTAGAGACAGGGTCTCGCTCTTTCTCAGGCTGGTTTCGAACTCCTGACCTCGAGCTATCCACCCGCCTGGGCCTCCCAGAGTGCTAGGATTACAGGTGTGAGCCACCGCACCTGGCCTAAGTAAGAGTTATGTGTTCCTGTTTTAGTAGGTAAACAAAGTAATTAACAAAACTTGTGACTCCTTGGGGAGCCTGGACAATTCTATACCTTGTGACTCATGATTTTTTTCACGTGAAACCCTAATGATCTGTATCACAAAGTAGAGAATAAAAGCGGGTGCTGGACTTCAGTCGGTACCACCTGGCCCATGGGAGTGCTGGTGGTCCCCCAATTTCCCCACATCCTTATACCTTTTACCCTGTATCCATGTCTCTCTTTCCCATCTTGTGCAGCGCACACTGCCCGGGGACCCGTATGTATTGGGGGCATCTCGAACCTCCGATACACACCAAGGCAACCTGGCTCTGGAGCCCACATCTTAAACCCTATGCCTGCTTGACTCTTCTTGGATGTCTGGGAGGCATCTCAAATTCAGTAAATCCAGAATGATTCTCTCCTTTCCTACTGGAATTTTTTTTTTTTTTTTGAGACACAGTCTTACATATTTGTTGCCCAGGTTAGAGTGAGTGCCATGGTGTCAGCCTAGCTCATAGCAACCTCAAACTCCTGGGCTCAAGCAATCCTTCTGCCTCAGCCTCCTGAGTAGCTGGGACTACAGGCATGAGCCACCATGCCCGGCTGATATTTTTTCTATATATATTAGTTGGCCAATTATTTTCTATTTATAGCAGAGACTGGGTCTCACTCTTGCTCAGGCTGGTTTTGAACTCCTGAGCTCAAACAATCCGCCTGCCTTGGTCTCCCAGAGTGTTAGGATTACAGGCGTGAGCCACCATGCCTGGCCTGGAATATTCTTTATGGTCCGCCTCCATCAGTCAGTCCTGTTGCTTCTACTTCCAGAATGCAATCTGAATCACTTAAAAAAATAATTTTTTTTTAGCATACTAGGATGCATTAAAAAAATAATAAAAAAAAAATTTGAGTTTCACTTTATTGCCTGGGCCACGATACAGTGGCATCGGCCTAGCTCACAGCAACCTCAAATTCCTATGCTCAAGTGATCCTCCTGCCTCAGCCTCCTGAGTAGCTGGGACTACAGGCATGCGCCGCCATGCCTGGCTATTTTTCCTACATATTTTTAGTTGAACTTGTTTCTATTTATAGTACAGATGGGGTCTCGCTGTTGCTCTAGCTGGTTTTGAACTCGACCTTGAGCAATCCTCCAGCCTCAGCCTCCCAGAATGCTAGGATTATAGGCATGAGCCACCACACCCAGACTGTATGTAGTTTTCATATTACCTGGCTGGATACTTTCTGGACAGTCCTTAAGCCATGCTGAAATTCACCTTATGATCCACTGACTTAAGGCATACAACTCTATACCCCACAGGCTAGCTATTTCCTCCTGTACTCTTCCCCAAAGTCAATGGAAAGGCAGATTTGGTCAGCAGTGATTCATGCCTGTATCCCAGCACGCTGAAGCCAAAGTGGGATTGTTTATGGCCAGGAGTGCTTACTGCTATAGTTAACAAACACCACTGCACATTAGCCTAGGCAAGACTGTCTCAAAACACAAGGGGCAGCCGGGCGCGGTGGCTCACGCCTGTAATCCTAGCTCTCTGGGAGGCCGAGGCGGGCGGATTGCTCGAGGTCAGGAGTTCAAAACCAGCCTGAGCAAGAGCAAGACCCTGTCTCTAAATAGAAAGAAATTAATTGGCCAACTGATATATATATGTAAAAAATTAGCCGGGCATGGTGGCACATGCCTGTAGTCCCAGCTACTCGGGAGGCTGAGGCAGTAGGATCGCTTGAGCCCAGGAGTTTGAGGTTGCTGTGAGCTAGGCTGACGCCACAGCACTCACTCTAGCCTGGACAACAAAGTGAGTTGCTGTGAGCTAGGCTGACGCCACAGCACTCACTCTAGCCTGGACAACAAAGTGAGACTGTCAAAAAAAAAAAAAAAAACCACAAGGGGCAGCTAGACACTGTGCTAAGGATTCCTATGCAGGAAGTGGGTGACACTAATAGCCCAACACAGCCAATAAACCTTTCCTTTAATCGCCATGTCTTCTTGCCTGGCCCCTAGTGTCTTAATTCAAGTGGGCTGAAGTCATTTAAGGTATAGCTTAAATGCTGCTGAAACCCTACTAGGGCTTCATGTGGGATTCCTACAGTAGGGGTACATGAGGAAAAATCCCCTTAAAAATGCAATTAATCTAGTTGAATACTGCTTCCTTAGTCTTAGAAATCCAGCATTAGGCAAACTGCTACACTAAGCACATTCTCAAGGCTTATTTCCTTGTGCCCAGCTAGACCCACCCAAAGACATGAATCACAGTACATGTTTAAAAAAGCAACTTTATTGTGAAAACTAAGACATGACAGTATACTCAGACAGCTAGGTTGTACAACAAAGGACTTACAAATTCCCTTTCTGATGGTCTCCAATTTATTTAGTGGAAAATCATGAGTTCTACAAATGTAATGGAGGAGAACTTTATCCTTGCATGTTATCTACATAAGACCCATATTCACTCTGGGGTGGAAACTTATGTTGAAATTATCACATTGGGGCCCTATGCCTCAAACGGTGAAGCAGGGGCACAAATGCACTCAAGGATGCAGCAGCTCATTGTTGGTGGCCACTCAGGAGGAATATTACTGAAATCAGTCTCTTGTCCAATTAAAGCTGTAGTTATGGCTTGTGGTATAGGAAGTCTGGTGTTGGATGAGCTCCTATTGCTTATCCCAAGGGCAGTGCTTGTTTAGCTGGTGGAGAAAACCGAAAAATCTCATATGACAGTTGGAATATTAAGTGTAGGGATGGGTGACTTAACCCTTCCTGGTATGGACTTGGGTATTGTTTACAATTTATCATCTTATTGCCACAAAGAAGCCATTCTGATTTCTATTTTAACATTAATTTGTCATTTATATCTAAACTACAAAAGGGAAGGGGGTACAATAAAGCATGTCTAACCTCCTGTCTTGTCATGGCCAAGAATGTCCCCTTGATCAAGAGGGGGGGGTCCTCTTCAGTAATTTGGGGAGCTCAGAATTTAAGTTCTCACTTCTTACTGAATAAGAAAGCGTAAATGTATGCACGCACCACTCTATAACTTCTAAGTTTACAGGAGGGTACTCTAACTTATAATCTATTAAGGACTAAGCACCAATAAATATTTGAGCAGATACCTACCATTCAGGTGTGTGTTTTGTCCTTTTCTCAGACCTGGAAAAAAATAAACAAATGTTTCAACAAGTGATGATTCTTCCCCTGTCCTTGTACAGAAATCCTTATGAGCCCTCAGACAGTTCCTTCTGGAACAAACTTTCCTCTTCTCTCCCAGCCAGTCTCAGTGGGTTCACCTTTACAGGCTCTGGGACTGGGACAGGAAGTAAGACGTGTGAATGTTTCTTCATCGGGAAATTTTAGCTTAGCCCATCTTACATTTAAGTTTATTTACCTCTAATTTCAGTGTAGAGCTCTGCAGAAACATGACTTAGTTTCCCTGCAAAATAAAGAAATCAAGAATTGAGTTTCTCAACCACTCTGTTGCTTGGAAGATAGATCTGTATAGGTTATGTAATTTTCAAGACACATTTTATAGAAACCACTAGTGTGAAAAACTTTCTAATTAGCTGTAAAGCCTACTCAATTAACTTTGTTTTAGAACTTGTCACTGCAAGGCAAGCTCAGTTCAGAAAATACCTTTCAGTCACAGTGATCAGACTGGGGCGGTATTCAACTCATCACTGGTGAGCAGAAATTCATGACAAGTAGTTCAGGAATGGCTTTACATAGCCACCCAGACCAACTGCCACAACACACGGCATTTACCTCAAATCATTTCAAGTACTTCAGACAAGGCGCTGGACCTGAAACAAACAAGACCAAGTTATTACTAATGTTTATATCCTGCGCTAAGTTGTTCCCACTTAAGCCATCATTCATACAAAATCAGATTTCCAATTCTCAACAGCCAAGTCATCAGCCGAACGAGATTCCATGTAAGTCATCATATATAGACCTAAAAAGGCATTTTTCCCTACTCAATACACTGCACACATGGAGCATATATTGAAATCACTCACCTTAGAACCAACAAGCAGGTTACTGGTCATAGTACCTAGGGGAAAAGAAAGCCATGGGTAAAAGGTTCCCTAAAAATGCTATCTCTTCACTCCCCTTTTTCTCCAGTTTCTCAGGTGTTCACGTGTTTTCATTGTCAATCATAGTGAGCTAGTTTGATTCATCACAGAAACTACCTACTTGTAGCATAAATCTTAAGAAACAAAAAACTAACCTCTCAACTTCAAAGGCTTTTCAATAGACACAGGAACAGGCTGCCCCTTAATTAAACAAAATCATTTAATTAGCAAAGCATCCAAAACAGCCGTAGCTATTCTAGCTATACTTGTCAGTGGACATGCCAAGAAAAACTAAGAGCTATCTTTAAGCATTTGCTGTACCTCAGACAGTTCCTTAGGGAACAAGTTCTCATCTTCTCTCCCAGTTACCCCAGTGGGTTCACCATTACTGGCTCTGGGGTTAGAACAGGGGTGTCCTCACTGGCACTGGACAAGCTACAATTGAGAAATACTTACCACTTTCAACTCTTCCTAGAAGCTTGACCCTGGGCAGATTGGCTTGCATCTAGGAGAAATAAGCAGAGGTCAAGAAACATCACTACAGGCAATTAAGAACCAGAAAGCTGGCCGGGCGCGGTGGCTCACGCCTGTAATCCTAGCACTTTGGGAGGCCGAGGCGGGCGGATTGCTCAAGGTCAGGAGTTCGAAACCAGCCTGAGCGAGATCCCGTCTCTACCAAAAATAGAAATAAATTAATTGACCAACTAAAAATATATATACAAAAAATTAGCCGGGCATGGTGGCGCATGCCTGTAGTCCCAGCTACTCGGGAGGCTGAGGCAGGTGGGTTGGTTGAGCCCCGGAGATTGAGGTTGCTGTGAGCCAGGCTGACGCCACGGCACTCACTCTAGCCTGGGCAACAAAGTGAGACTCTGTCTCAAAAAAAAAAAAAAAAAAAAAAGAACCAGAAAGCTTTATGGCTCAAACAGGCTTCAGTGACAAATACCAAAAAGGTAAAGCCAATTTTGGGATAATGAGCTCAAATACATAATCCATTATAATATCTAGAGAATCAACTTACCCTAAGATAGATGGACATACTATCATTGGGATGATCTGGAAAAAAGGGAGCAAATGGTTATTTTAAAGTATCAGGGTAAAACAAGATTTCTTCATCAACACCACTGCCATCAGAACTCTAACATGCTATTAACTGTTGTACCTCACAGAGCATCAGCTTATCAATTCAAATCATCTGACAGTGATGTGATATGTGGACAAAGGAAGGGCACACGTTCACAAAGACCCAACTTTACTGCTGAGTTGTGCTCTCCCTCCCCGAAAAATCACCTCAGGAGGGATAAGATGAAAGGAGCAAAAATACAACATCACTCTGCCGACCATTTTGCCCTCCTGATTGTCGAGACCATTTACAAGACGACATACCCCGAATTCCCATTTGGCCAATTACCTGTATTCACCCTGGCAGGCAGTTGAGTTCCTCAGGAAGGGTTATGAGATGCTGGAGACAGAAAAGGGAGGCAATGTATGTACCTAACAGTGGCCATTCAAAGACCCCTGAAAATACCCCTGGCCCACTTCTCAGTAGTAAGATGACATCACTTCTAAGTTCAGTCATATGCTTGTCATTTTGAGTTCATCATGGAGTGGTCATCTAGTGTCCCCTTCCCAATAATAGCATAAACACCTACTTGGAGCATCATTTCAATGCTGGCTTTGCAGAAAGATGGATCTTGTCTCATACTCCCACCAGTAAGCTCCTTTGAGCTAAACATCTGAAAAACACCAGGCTTTACTAACACTTCAGAACTGAAAACCAGAAGACCTCAAATATTTGCCGCATGCGATGCTACTCAGAATTTTTTGTGCTTTCTCCATTAATTCATCAGAAAGAGAGAGTTCAATTCTTAAAATCATCACCGTAGCACATCCCATAGGACTGCCACATACTCAACGAGAGGTACAAAACCGCCATAAGCACTTACTTCCACGAGTGAGCTCTCTTCTATTCAAACGTGCGCCGGAACCCTGTAGACAAGAGCCCAAGACACCATAAGGTTAATACCCGATATGTGCAAAACGCTGTTTTCTGGAGCAATGGCCGAGTCGAAAGCTGTGCAGGGCCCGTCTCCTCAGAGTTACTTATCCTCACGGAACTCAGTACAGGTCTGTGACAAGGTCCTCATCATAGGAGGGCCACGAGCACTGCCCGCCATCGCCATTTTGTCCTTCACAAAGCCCCACAGCTGCTTCGATGCCTCGAGGCCACGGACTACACCTTATCCGTCCCCCGCCCTGGCCACCAACCAGGTAAAACCCAGGTCTAAGGCACGCCACGCTCGCACGATCATTTAAATGGGTGGGTGGGGGAGGAGAACCCACAAAATGCAACAGCTACAACACAGACAATAGCACTCACCAACAGTAACACAAAAAACGAGAACGACCAGCCGACGGGAGACACTTAAATAGCTCTCCGCAGAGGCCCCTGGGATTTGAGGGCGGGACTCTATTGGGCGCACGCGCATATGGAGACGTCATGTGAACCCGGGGAGTTGTGGGTAGAGAGTTTCAGGCTATGGGGGCAGAGAGGACCCGCCCCTTGAACTTGCGGCGCGAAAAAGGCGCGCATGCGCCCTTGGGAAACGCGCAGATGCCGCAACCGCACTGCGGCAGAGCATCGTCTCTCTGCCGGTTGCTAGAGGAACACCAGCCCTGAGGCCCCGCCTTCGCGCCCATCCTGCACGGCCGCCTACCCTTAATCCCCTAGTCTGAGCTCCCTTTGCCCATACACACACTAAGCCAGTGTACAGCATCCGCCTCCATGGATCCCGTGCCTCTTGAACCCTCGACCAGTGTCGTCTCGGTTCCGCACCAGCCGCCCAGCGCGCATACGGAGCCTGATGTCCAGGGTCTCAGCGCGGGAGGCGACTCAGGTACTGGGCCCCTGGCTGAGTTTGGGTGGAGGTCCTTTGCGTGGAGCCATTTTGGGAAAGTCAGGACTAAGTGCTCCACTTAATTCTTAAGACAGGGTCAGATTTTTCCTTTCCTGCCTTTTGGTACGATTTCCATAGGAGCTTGGCCTGTATGTGGTAGGGGTAACATTTGTGGAGCACCGTTTTAAGCACACTGTGTGAATTGATTACGTCTCCAAAACCCTAATATGTAGGTACAATGACAACCCCATTTTATAGATGAGGAAACTTAGGTGTCAAGAACTCTTGTAGAGCTGGTGTCGTGGTGGTTGGAGTCGGCTATTGACTGTTGTTATTGAGAACAGCTAGCATTAGTTCCTCAGTCTTTTTTTTTTTTTTTTTTTTTGAGACAGAATCTCGCTTTGTTGCCCAGGCTAGAGTGAGTGCGGTAGCATCAGCCTAGCTCATAGCAACCTCAAACTCCTGGGCTTAAGCAATCCTCCTGCCTCAGCCTCCCGAGTAGCTGGGACTACAGGCATGTGCCACCATGCCCGGCTAATTTTTTCTATATATGTTAGTTGGCCAATTAATTTCTTTCCATTTATAGTAGAGACGGGGGTCTCACTCTTGCTCAGGCTGGTTTTGAACTCCTGACCTAGAGCAATCCGCCTGCCTCGGCCTCCCAGAGTGCTAGGATTACAGGCTTGAGCCATCGCGCCTGGCCTAGTTCCTCAGTCGTTTGTGGTAGATACTTATGTGTACAGGCACGCTTTATAAACATTTATTGAGCTCTTATTGTGTGCTCTTCTATATGATCTCACTTAATACTACATTAACACTCGGAGAAAGGTGTTAAGGTAATGTTATAGATGAGATTAAGTCATTTGTTGAGTGTTATCACCCTAAGAAATATGAGAGCCAAGGTGCAAATCCAGGCAGTCCGATTCTAGAGCCAGCACCTAACCACTATGCTTTACTGCGTTGATAACACAAGTTCTGTTCTCAAGGTAGTTGGGGAGCAAGCACATACACAGAAAACAAATGAATAATCCTTGGGCACTGTTTCTAATATTTTTTTCATCGTTACTCCTTCCAACCTAAAAAAGACATTCTTTCCTTCTTAATCTGCCCTGCCCTGGAATTTTAATACTGTAGATATATTGTATACCTGCCTATGTACCATGGCCCTTTGGAGGGCAGAAACCTTTTTAATATCTGAGATTAACTACTGCTCCCCAACCCCGCAACAAGAACCAATTTTGACTCTTTTTTTTTTTTTGAGACAGAGTCTCACTTTGTTACCCGGGCTAGAGTGCCATGGCATCAGCCTAGCTCATAGCAACCTCAAACTCCTGGGCTCAAGCAATCTTTCTGCCTCAGACTCCTGAGTAGCTGGGACTACAGGCATGCACCACCATGCCCAGCTATTTTTTTCTACATATTTTTAGTTGGGCAGTTAATTTCTTTCTATTTATAGTACAGATGGGGTCTCGCTCTTGCTCAGGCTGGTTTTGAACTCCTGACCTTGAGCAATCTGCCCGCCTCAGCCTCCCAGAGTGCTAGGATTACAGGCGTGAGCCACCAAGTCCCGTCCAATTTTGACTCTTGAGGGCAATGTTGTTCCCCTGCATGCCTCAAATACTGAGATAACTCTGTTTGAACAAAGTTATTACAGACTGGAATAAATTCATTTATTTAATAACTACTAAGTGCTTGTTCTGTGAATGATACCACATATGGCATTAGGGGGAGAGAGAGAATAAGACACTCTGCCCTCAGGGAGATTTTCCTCTGAGGAGAATTTAGATGTGTATACCAATAGCTTTAGTACAAGATTGAAAAGTTGCAGCCTGGCGCAGTGGCTCATGACTGTAATCCTAGCACTCTGGGAGGCTGAGGCGGGCAGATTGCTCAAGGTCAGGAGTTCGAAACCAGCCTGAGCAAGAGCGAGACCCCATCTCTACTATAAATAGAAAGAAATTAATTGGCCATCTAATATATATAGAAAAAATTAGCCGGGCAAGGTGGCGCATGCCTGTAGTCCCAGCTACTTGGGAGGCTGAGGCAGGAGGATCGCTTGAGCTCAGGAGTTTGAGGTTGCTGTGAGCTAGGCTGACACCACGGCACTCACTCTAGCCTGGGCAACAAAGTGAGACTGTCTCAAAAAAAAAAAAGTATATTAGAAAAGTTGTGACAAAATGTATAGAAAGTGGAAGAGAAACTGGAAAATCAAGAAGGTCCAGCGTAGGCAGCCCAGGCTGGGGAGGTTGTGTGTGGGAATGGGAATTGGGGGAAATGCTTTATGTAATGTCTGAGCCTGGAAGTGTAGATGAACAGATTGGGGAGAAGAATTCCAGTTAAACAATCTGAACACAGCTTGGTTCTAGAAAATGAAGGAAGTACATGGATAGCAGTAGTTGAAAGATGGGCTAAATGGGAATAGAATATCAAACTGGAAAAGATTTCCTGGGGAAGGCCAGATGAGGAGGGCCTGGAATATAAAGCTAAATCATTTGAATTGTGTATAGTGAGAAAGAAGCTAGTGAAAGTTTTTAAGCAGGGAGGTGATAAGAAATTGGGGGATAAGATGGAGACAAGGACATTAATTGGTATGTCACAGTAATTTAAGCAAGAAGTAAGTGGATTCAGTGCTAACAAGTATAATGACAGTGGAAATGGAAAGGAGGGGATTTAGGTCAGACATCTCCAACTCCAGTACCTGCAGAATTCAGGCAAGGAATGTAGATAAGCAAAATGAACTGAGCAGAACTCTGATGAACTGAGCAGCCCTTTCTCAGCTGCAGCTGACTGTTGGCTTGCTAAAATATTGTCTCTGTGTGATCAGATGTTCACTGTTTTCAAGAGTATCCAGAAATCCAGAATTGTGTATTGGTTTACCCATTTTTAAAAATGTTGAGATCTATTTTAAACATTTTTTTTTTTTTTCGTAACAGAGTCTCATTCTGTTGCCCCAGGTAGAGTGCAGTGGTGTCATCATAGCTCACTGCAACCTCAAACTCCTGGACTCAAGTGATCCTCTGGCCTCAGCCTCCTGTGTAGCTGAGATTATAGCCGACCCATCTAATTTGCTTAAAATTTTTTTCCAGGTGCCACTGGCTTGCACCTGCAGTCCCAACTACTTGGTAGGCTGAGTGAGGAGGATCTCTTGAGGCCAGGAGTTCAAGGCAGTAGCGTTCTGTAATTGAGGAAGTGAATAGCCACTGTGCTCCAGCCTGGGCAACATAGTGAGACTGTCTTTTTAAAAAAGACAGGGTCCTGCTCTGTCACCCAGGCTGGAGTGCAGTAGCCTGATCATAGCTCACAGCAGCTTCAAACTCCTGACCTCAAACAATCTTCCTGCCTCGGCCTCCCAGAGTACTAGAATTACAGGCATGAGCCACCACACCCAGACCCTTGCCAGTTTCTTAACCACCACTCTTTCCCCAAGCCTGATCCACCCAATCCCCACCTTGGAGAAATACCCTGAGGTCTGATTTTATCTGGGTATAAATCATTCTTCTATCCCTATTGCATAGCAGAATATAAGATACAGAAAGCACTCAATATACATTAGTTATGTCTATAATCTTTATTTTTTTGCCCAGGCTAGAGTGAGTGCCGTGGCATCAGCATAGCTCACAGCAACCTCAATCTCCTGGGCTCAAGTGATCCTACTGCCTCAGCCTCCCGAGGAGCTGGAACTACAGGCTTGTGCCACCATGCCCGGCTAATTTTTTGTATATGTATTTTTAGTTGGTCAATTAATTTCTTTCTATTTTTAGTACAAACAGGGTCTCGCTCAGGGTGGTTTCGAACTCCTGACCTCGAGCAATCTGTCCGCCTCAGCCTCCCAGAGTGCTAGGATTACAGGCGTGAGCCACCTCGCCCAGGCTTTTTTTTTTTTTTGAGACAGGGTCTATCACCCTAGCTATGACAGTGGTGTCATCACTGCAACCTCAAACTCCTGGGCTCAAGCAATCCTTCTGCCTCAGCCTCCCAAGTAGATTATAGGGGACTATAGGTGCCCCACACCATACCCGGCTAATTTTTTCTATTTTTGGTAGAGACGGGGTCTCACTCAGACAGTCTCAGACTCCTGAGCTCAAGTGATCCTTCTGCCTTGGCCTCCCAGAGTGCTAGGATTATAGGCGTGAGCCACCACTCCCGATGCCTCTATAAATTTTTGAGTGATCTTTTTCTAGCCCCAATTTATGGATTATCCTATCCAAATGAGCTTGCTCTTAGGTCTAGAGTTTGTTCAAGGAGCAACCCTGCCCCCTCCTGGCAGCAAGAGGCACTGCCTGGATTAATGGAGGATGGAGATATGCTAATAACCAGTGCTTGGCTGGAAACTGGGAGAAGACAGTAACCTCAGTGGAGAAAAGGCCCAATTTGAAAATAGAGTTTTCTGGGTTGTGGAGGAGTGTGATATTGTGGTGGTCTCCAAAGAGAGGATTAGCCATTGAGGAGATGAGGATGTTGAAGATTGTAAGGACAGGTTCAAACACTGTGTGGACCTGAGTGAGGAAGGTTTCACACTTGGGACTGGAAGTGCTGAGCGTAAGTTGATACTGGTAGTACCGCTTCTCTACCTTTTGACTAAAATCAAGTTTAGTATAAATTCTTACCAGTTTAACATCTGCTATATACTCGATGTTAGGAGTATGTACTCGGCCGGGCGCAGTGGCTCACACCTGTAATCTTAGCACTCTGGGAGGCCGAGGAGGGCGGATTGCTCCAGGTCAGGAGTTCAAAACCAGACTGAGCAAGAGCGAGACCCCTGTCTCTACTATAAATAGAAACAAATTAATTGGCCAACTAATATATATAGAGAAAATGAGCCAGTCATGGTGGCGCATGCCTATAGTCCCAGCTACTCGGGAGGCTGAGGCAGGAGGATTGCTTGAGCCCAGGAGTTTGAGGTTGCTGTGAGCTGGGCTGACACCATGGCACTCACTCTAGCCTGGGCAACAAAGCGAGACTCTGTCTCAAAAAAAAAGAGTATGTACTCTATATTAAGA